ACTATTCTTTTTTCTCCATTTACTTTTGCCCATAATCCCTCACTCATTTTATGGTTAAGAGATTGGAGTTCTAAGACAAATAACTCCATAAATGATACTACAGAGGGAAATCAAAGATAGATTGTTTGTGTAAAGAAATAATAAGAATTTGGAATTCAGTTGTGGACTTCCATAAATACCAAACTCAATTTTTATTTTTGTGTGTGGTGGGAATAGCATTTAATGTCACTGTTGGAGTCATTAAATGAATGTCTGCTGAGCACATTAATGTTTCTCATTCAGAGGACTCTTTATAGATATTCATCCATAAGTTTATTACCATTCATGGGAAAATATTTGACCCAGATACTTTTTGTTCCTCTGTGACATGGATCCTAATTCTATCACAGTGAGCTGTTCCCTTTCTCAACCACAGAGATACACAATCTAGTTAGTCATTGCAAATACACATAAATCTTGTTTTTGTTTCTTTTATAGACTCAAACTTCAACTGTTGCTTCTTTTCCCTCCAGATTCCCAAATTGAGAAATATTCCCTTATTCAACATAGCATCTGGTCCTAAAATTAGTAATCTGGGAAAATTCAGAATGGTTAGAATTGTGTAAAAGAACTTCCTAATTTTCTCTGGTTGATGCATTATTACTATTCATCCAGTCACACTGATGTCTGAGTGGATAAATTCCTTTCTTATTTCTCTTGAGATGGGTAGTTCAAGTGAAGACTCCCAGAATTCTTGCTCGTTGGTTAGTTTTGTTGGCATAACAATATCTAGAAATAGTAATTTCTGATAATTTGTAAGGTCAAATCTATCTTATGACACATTTCCCCAAGTTCTGATAGCTCTCCTGATAAATCTTTCTGGAAAGAAGATCTCAAAATTCCCCAGTCACTTTTTATCTCAACTGTCTCTTAGAATGTTTCTGATAAAATGATGAAGAATTAAAGACTGGTACCTCTGTGGATTGAGGTTCAGGATGAGTAAGTATAACTTCTGGTGACATTCTCTTTAATTGAAGAAACTATTTCAAGCCATAAAATTTGTCTTGTGTATATCCATAAGGATTTCATCTTTCAAGGCCATGTACATACAACACTAAAAAATGAACTAGAAATGTTTGGTGAGAGATGTTCTTCCAAATACTTGTCCAACATGTCCCACCAAAATATGAATTAATAATGTAATGGTATTGGAGAGAACTTGGTTAATGCTTGTGGTATGGATTAACTAAAGCTTAATAAAACTTTTTGTTATAAACACATTTTTGTTTTAGACAAGAGTTTTAAACTACTAAGAATTTTAACAATTCCTTCAATAAAGAAATAATGAGAAATTAGCAAGACTATAGCAAGTTAAAACTGGAAAATCCAATTAAAGTTAATGATTTCTGATATTTTTATAGAGTCATTGAAATGTTAACTACCAATCTACCCTCTCTCCCCCTGTGGTAACCATCATGGTTTTTGAGATTTTAAGAGTTAGTTGTTTTGTCATGTTTTATTTCGTTTGTTTTGTACTTTTATTTTCTACAAATGAGTGAAATTATCTGGCATTTGTGCACCATTCTAAAATCATATCTGAACACAGTTAATTTGTGTGTTATAAGAATTAAGGCACAAAAAATGTCATTATGCTCTCTATATAATAAAACTTAAAAAGCTATAGTTTACTGAGCAAAGTAAAATAAGTTCTAAAATCAATTTGAGAGCTGTGTCCTATGTAAGTTTATAAGATTAACTTCTTAAAAATCAGTTGGTAGGATAAGTAAAAGATACTTTTGCACTAACAAATAATACACTTATAAATATATTTGAGAGTAATGTGCAAACACAATTATAGCAAACACATTGTGACATTTATTTTTTATTTAATTTTAATTAAATTAATTTTAATTTTCAATTATTTCAAGTAAAAAGTAACTGTCTTACATTCAAAATATGGTGATACTAGCATTAGATGCATGTTTTTAGTTTGCTATTTCATTTGTGACTTCAAATTTGCAGTTTTTTAACAAAGGCCACTTGTGACAGTGTTAGCATTTACAATGGTTGGCCAGTCTTTCACTCCAACATGCAACTCAGTGATTCTTTCTTTTAAAGTTATGGAGATTATGTGGGCTTTGAATCCATGATTGTGACATTGTAGTTGCTGTCATTTATACAAATCTATATTGTGCCCATGTAAAATGTCTGTGATTTTGTTACGTGAAAACTGAATCTTTGGACATCCCACTTGCCATCTTTAATTCCAACATGATGCTATAAAATATTTTGGTTTTTGACTCATAGACTCATCACTATCAACAAACATGGACTCTTCTCCAGCACTTGCCTGTTGCTTTTCTGTTCTTTTCACTACTCTTGCCACTCATCAAACCCATTACTTCTGTAAATTTCTAACCTTTGGAATCTTCTTCATTATGATTAGCATAATGTCCATCAAACATGGCTGTAATATTTTTTCTCCTCTACTTAAGAAAAGTTAATAACTTTCTAATATCTATTATTGCAAATATAAACCTTTTTATATTAAAAGTATTCTCCATCCATCTGACCTTTTATCTTCTAACAATCCCATTTCTGTCTACTCATTGGCAGTCTTTTTACTGCTTCCTTGACATCTGGTTGTTAGAAGGATTTGCTTCTAACTGATCCCCTGTCGATGCAGATGCCATCCTGAATCCACCCAGAGCCACCTCTTCCTGAGGCAGTCCCTTCTATTTTTTGTGACTTGGTTGGAGTTTCTTTCTTTACTGACCTGAGATCAGTTATATGATATAGGATATAGTTTTTTGCTTTTATCTTTGTGTATATGTCAGTCAAATCAGGTCTTCTTTTTAAATAGTTTTGTCTCTGTGTTGTGTCCACAATGACACATTTATAAACTGTAGGAAGGATGAATATACCCAGCACTCCTACATTTGCTTACCTGGCCCACCTTCCTATTACCTAGAACTATAACAAACTCCACATGACCAGTACATATTTAATGCATGTCTGATAACTAAGCTATCTTCCAAATGTGGAATTATTTATCTGTGAAAGTACATATACTTAACTACTCTTATTAAAGAATAATAAAGTCTCCATCTTAAAAATGATTCTATGAATTTTAGTTTTAAAGGTTGGATGCAAGCCTGATCATGTCCATACTCAGCCTCTCTCATATAGAAAAATGCCAAAACATTACCCACTATTTAAAAAACTTGCATTTTTGTATGTGTGTATAAAATTGGTTAACTGAGACAGTGTTACATGTTTATGTCAATAACTTGGCTTTCTAAATATGTAATGCACTATTATCTCCTAGACCACAGAATAGTGGGCATATTTAGTTCCACATGTGCAACTTCAAGCAATGCGCAGGAAAAAAAGTTTTATGAACATTTTATAATGTAAATATGAGATTTTTTTAAATACAAAAATACAATTTTATCTTTAAACGAGCTTATGTATCTTGACCTTTCTGTGGTATTTCTAAGTTCTTAGCATTTCCAAATGTCCTTGTATTTAAAACTATTTCAAAAATTGAGTTTCCATAACAATTTTAATTGAATCTCCTGTGATGCTATTTTAAACATTGTAATCAGCCACAGCATATAATTAGACTTCAAACAAAACCTTTAATGCTATGTAGTAATTTGAAAGGAGGCATTTATAAAAATTGTACATCTATGGATTTCTTCTCCTAACCTCCTTCTACCTCATCCATGAGATGCTATGGCTAAGGGTGGTAATGAACCATGGATTACAGAAGTTGCTTTCCATCTGTTCCACAGAATGTGGAAAATATTATCCTGCAGCAGCTATACCTTCATGATTAACTGATGTCTGGTATGAAGATACCACCATGATAAACTTATCACTAAGGCTGATTTTTCTCTGTGATCAATAAACACTGATTTATTTGTATAGTGACTGCTCAGGGTTAGGCAGGCATCATCTAGTCATGCAAGAAATTGAAGTTCTGGGTCTTACTCTGGCCATGGTGAAGTGGATGGCACATTTTTACATTGTGCTGCTTTGCATGTCCTGAGTCTTTAGCAGTGAATTGTTCTTTTTCAGTTCTTATTATTACTAGATTTCTTGAAAGCACACTTTCTATGTCTTCCCATTAATCATCTATGTAATTTTGGAAGGCAAATGCATGGAACTCAAAGCTAATTATGCATTCTATTATGCCTTTAGAGCTGGATGAAAGTCATATTCCAACACACAATCCTTTCCCCAAAAGTCATTTCCACAAGTGATGACTTAATGATATATTTACTTTAAAGTTTGCCTTTGGGGACAATGATTATCCTGGTTAGCTTTTGGGAGAATAGACTTCTTGGGAAGTCTGTAAATATTTAGAAAATCATTTTGGGCTTTTAAAATATATTTAACTCAAAAAAATGTATTGAAACCCATGCTTTGACTATGCTTATATAGAAAGGACCCCTTTATACCTATGTGAAGTATGAGAACTATAGCCTCTAATTCTCTATTTCCATTAACTGAACAAATGAACCAAACAGCTGTAGAAGCAGTATGGGTGAGGGCAAAGTGCAGTTTTGTTTTTCATTTCTAAAGTCAGAAAATGTGAACAATAGAAGAGTGACTAACTGATAGAATTGCTAACAGTCCTCCTGATAAGTTTTGTTCTCTTTACCATTTGTAGTCAATCTTTTATGTTGCATATAACAACCTAGCTAAGAACGCAAATATTGGTTTCACATATGCCTTTGAATTTGATGTTTTTTTTTAACTCTGCAGTTTTGAAAAACAGCAGTCTATAGTAATCATATCCTTGACTTGTAGCTGTTAGTCATACACTTGATTCCAAGAAAGAGATACTTTCCTATGTTGCTAACAGCAGAGTGCAGTGTTTTGTAAGGAGAGGTGATTTAGTATATATTCATTTCTTACTTTTTTTGAGGTCTGATTATACAGTTCAGAATGTGTACAAACTCTTCTGCTACAAACTCTACATTAGTATCTTCTGAACAGAAATACTACTTCTCTTGAATTCTGAATTTAGTGAGAAGGAAAGCAAGGTGGGTTTCAGATGGGGAGGACTGTTTCCTTCTAGATATCAGTATCCATCCCAGAACCACATCTGCGACAAAAAATTTCCTGATTCTGGGTCAAGAAGCCCTCCCCCACCAAGGAGACTGAGCACTTCCCACAGTTAAAGCATTCACTGTGCCACTGGCGGTCTTGGAAGCAAATAAACTTGGCACCTTTGAGACCTAGAAAGGAATTGAGAAAAAGACTCATCAATCTTTTGAAAGAATAGTTCAAACATCATGTCAGGCACTCTTCTAGGAGCTAGAAATTCAGCAGTGACCAAGTGTAACAAATTGTAGAGGCTGCGCCCTGCAATTCCCAAACTGTAATGGCCCTGTGTCCATGTGGGGATATTACCCTTAGGCAAGTTCCTCTATGAGCTCTAGTCTGAATTTCCAGTCATTTTTCCCCATAATTTAAAAATACAGGTAAGGTAGAATATCATCAACATGGTATATATATAGTGGAATATTCATCAGCAATCAAAAAGTTAAACATATGCCATTTGCAGCAACATAGATGGAACTGGAAGGTATTATATTCAGTAAGATAAACCAGAAAGGAAAAGAAAAATATCAGATGGTTTTACTTATATATAGGAGGAATGTAGAGGAACCAAATAATGAATCAGGAAAAAATAATTATAATAAAAACCAAAATTAACAGGCAACTATTAATCAGAGACACTCTGTAGGGGAGGGAAGAGGATCAAAACAGGGAAAGGAAGTGCACACGGGACTATGGTGATGGTGCACGGGTGAATTTGTGGTGGCAATTATATGGGGACTACACCTGAGAGGAGGAAGCATACATTGCACAAAAATAAAGAATTATGTAAAAATGTATAAAATTAAAAATAAAAATGTAGGTAGAATATGAATATACAAAGCACACATTTGCAAACAGATAAGGGTTTCCTAATGTTGACAGAGGAATTAAGTATAGTTCACCGAGGAAAGGGTACACGTTTTGAAGGTAGAAATACCAAATTATGACTATCTTCCCCTTCCTCTCTTCATGACCCTATTTTCAAAGCTTCAAAATGTACATAAAATGTGTACTTCCTATTCTTGTATCTGATGTTTTAATGGCTCTTAGTTATCTTCCCTCCATTTTCTGTTTAATTTTATTTAGGATAAATCATATTGTGGTTCAGAATGTATTTTTCCCAATAGAGGATTTTACCAGACTATCTTGTAGCTATCCAAGTAAGATGGCATCATTACTTTGCCTAGAGACAACTTCAGCCTTGGGTTGTGACAAAGATCTGTAAATCTGATCACTCTGGTCACTTAGGTCACCATGCTAGCCAATGACCAGTTTCTAAGAATTACCTCATCTGCTATCACATTAACTTGGTCTCACTTGAGCCATAGGTTTTCTATGAAAGTTTGGTAGAATTTGAGTCTTCAATGAAACTGTATTCCTAATATGAATCTAGAATGCAGTTCAAGGAATTGATTTTGAGGATTTATAGAAAAGGTATAGTGATTGGGAAGGAATTAGGATACCCTGGGCTTAGATCTTTATAATTTTTCTCCATTTGATCTTAGTGCTTACAACTTCTTGTAATCACCCAAAGAATGAATCTAAATAGCTCATGTGTTGATTCACTATATAATTTCCAGATGTTTTGTTTGGGATAGTGAAACAAAAAAAAGAATGTACAGTCATTTTATTTCAAATAAACTTTCCTTAACTCTGATAATGAACTTTTGCTACTACCCTAGAAACATTACTTGATACCTTTATGTTTATATTACTAGTTCATAGACAAATTCTTTTTTCTTGGTAGCTTTTTTCTTATAGCTTTCTTATTTATGAAGCTATCATCATTACTTTTGAATAAATTAAATCAATAATGTGCCAATTAATTCTCTTAATGCTATTCAAAGCATTTAATAAACTATCTGTAAGAATGTTCTCTCTCTGTCTCTCTAAGTAATTTCTTCATGAACTATCACATATTTAGCATTTTTCTTGGTTTCATTAGTAAGTATATACAAATGATAAATATAAAAATGATTATTCTAGAATTCTACAAAGCATCTGACAGCAGGAATTTAAACAAAAATCATGACCCCATATGTGAGAATTTTGTAAATTGTTTCAGTTTTGGTTCTATTTACTCCTTAGGTCAAGAGGGTTATTTTTAAGAACAAAATTATCCAGGAAGCAGATCTGTGGCACCTGTGTTCTATGATTTCTCTTACTCCTGAAAATCAGTAGAATATAAGGCAGCATGTATTGAAAATATGATGATCAACCTGTCATCCTTCTAATCCTTTAGATGTATTACTTCAAACAGGTCTTGCCTCCCTATATTTGGTAGATATTATTATCATCCTTATAATGCAGACAAAAACTGGGGGAAAGAGAGGTTCAATCGCTTGTCCTGTTGATAAGTGGAGATCTCAGATTCAATTATGAGCCATCTGGCTACAGTGTATACTCTTAATTTCAGAACCTGCTGCAATCCATCAGAAAAAAATCACATAGATGCATGAATCTTGATGGATTCAGAATTGAAAATCATCAAGTTCAGGGCTCATATAAACTATTTCTAGATTAGTAATAGCCACTTGAGACCCCAGAAAGTTTTCAAATTTTTTTGAATTTTTTTTCTCAGTTCCTCAAGAAAATCCTAGTTCACTTCAAGAAAAAGAGTTGTAGAATTAACTGACTGAACCCATAGGCTGTGGTTGCAGGTAATACCAAGGAGATTTTGGAGCTTGAGGAGCCATTTGTTGCCTTTCTGGAAGCCCCATTTTCAAAGTAAGATCTGTGGAATTGGTGGCTTATTCTCTTGTAGAAAACAAGATTACAGTGTGTTTGAGAGCACCAACTTTGGAGCCTGTTGTGTGGGGTTGCCTCCTCAAGCCTCAGAAAGGGCTGCGGAGGTGAGGCAGCTGAGTGACTGGGATAAGGTATGCAGAGGGCATGCCCTGCATCACTAGCAGCTGCTCAGCTCCATAGGACATTGACTGTCTGAGGAATGTGAGGAAGGTCTGGTCACCCGTGACAGGTTCCTTATTTACATTTGGGTGCAGACATTAGTTGTTTCCAAATACATGAAAGCCAAAGAAACAGGCCTATGGGTCAGATATAGCCTATAAGTTGGATGTTAGACTCTGAGAAACATGGAGGTGGGTATAGAGAGTTAGAAGCATGTTATATTCACCCAGGTAATTCTCACCTTCCCTTTGCGAGTAAGTAAAAACTAGCCAAGTTGGTTTTTCTATACAACTATTTTCTTAAAGATACAAGAAGAACAAACTTTAGTTTTATAATGTATTTAGAAAATAAGTAAGAAATAAAATAACTTTTCATTGCAGATTAAATTCTTCAAAAAAGATATATGATCATCATAAGAATGGAGAGTAGAAATACAATTTTGCCATAATATTCAGCGACTATTAATTGCTTCAAAGAATAACTTGTGTTTCTTGGATGTTATGCTAATCTATTCTTTTACTAGAGGATGAGGAAAACACAATGAGTTTTTTTTAACTTAGAATCTACTTAACATGGATTGATTTGCTATTTATGTAATCTTCAAATCATGAGTATTTTGTTTCCTTAGCAATATGTTATTTTGTTTTATTTCAGTTATCCCTAATTAAAGCTTATTGCAAGTGGAGAGAGAGAAAAGAAAATGGCTATGTCAGAAACACTTTTAAAACTTTAATTAATTCCTGACCTATGCTACCTTAATTAAAGGACTTCGTGCTTTATACAATACTTGTATTTAAAAAAAATTCAGTTTTAAGGTCCTTGGCCTCATTTGTAATTATACAGGATTTTGATTTTGATTGGTAAGGATCCTTTCTTCACACTCAAATCAACTCCTTGAAGGTCTGTCTCAGATCAGTGTTCCCAATGAAGGTGTTCTCTGACCCTCTCAGTTTATCTTTTTTGTCCTTTTTCCCTGAACTTCTTTGAATATTATTTTACTTTATTTCCCATACAATGGATATTTATTCTACATTTGCTTTGAGGCGTCTGTGTAATACTTATATATCGGTACTCAGGTGTGCTTATCTCAGAAAAAAACATATGGGAAAGATTATACAATATTCACTTGTACATCCTAAATTAACTACATGACATTTTTCATAGTCATATCTGTCTCATGGTAAGGCTAAACTAAACCAAAGAACTCACCGGTAATGGGTTTAGTGCAGGCTACACACTTTTTGGCATAAAGATGGTTGTAGCAGTCCAAGCAGAATGGATAATCATCTCTGGACATAAACTCTTCTTCATAGAGTTCCTTCCTACAGCCACTACACAGAAAACATTCTTTGTGCCATGGCTGGTCATGATAGGTTATCCCACCTGAGATTATCACCTGCCAAAGATCACAAAAAAGGTAGTAACCAAGGAAGCCATCACAACTCAGATCTTTCATGGTTCTCTCCTATGTTCACAAATGATAAATTCATGCTTCTCTATCATCTTGTTGGAGGATTACCTGTACTGTGATTTATTTTTTAATCAATAAAGGAAGGAAAAGGCTAAGGAGGTTGAATAAACTGGTGAGAAGTAGCCTCTCTTTTCTCCTATAATGGAACAGCAAAGCAGCAAGGTCACAATGGATTAAGTGAGGTGAATAAAAACGGTGAGTTCTTGTGGCCTTTGCTGATATTCTTCTGACTTTCTTGTTGGTTTCCAAAGTTCTACCATTAGAACTAACGTATTTTCTATGCTATGTTCTTATGTCCATGTATAATTTTTAAGGATGTTGAAAAGAAAAGCTTCTTAAAACATTACTCTGGGTTCAAGATTTCCCACAGTAGCAGTCCTGAGAACTGATAAGTACTGTTGCTAATAATGACATTTAAGTGCTTACTCAGACTTTAGTCCTGTGCTAAGAGATGAACTCATCTTAATATTCTCAAAACCCCAAACACAGCAGCTTTCTCCTTATGGAGATGAACTACTGACAGCATGATGGAATCACTCTCCAGTATCACGCAGAGCCAGCATTTAAGCCTGCATAGTGTGATGCACTGCCAGTGCACTATTGAATACAATAGTGAGGTAACATGACTTTGACCTGATAAGTAGTTGATAACATCTTGCTGAGTGACTGAACAAAGCAAAAGAGAAAACATGGAAAGTAATTCCAGTATTGTATCTAGCACAACTGGTATGCTTTGGGTACTACATGAGTTTTCAGCTTTAGGTAATTACTAAATTACTTATTGAGTAATTAGAGCTTATTGCACATTGAACTTAATCTGTAGTGTATTAGGGTTTTATCATAGGAGATTATTATTTCTCTAGGAGAGTTTTTTGTTCTAAAATAGTTTAATTCATGCATTCTGCTCTTGAAAAGGCAGGGGCATATTCATTTAAAAACAAATGAGTAAATATGGGACATCTCTTGTGTAACAATTTCTAAGTCATAGCATCTTTCAAGTCCATTGCTATGGAGCTCCAGGAGTAAGTATAGAACCTGGATCATAACCATATAAATGTCTTCATAATGTTGATACTAGCTAAGGAATGTCCTGTTATCTTTGTATTTAAATTAACTAGATACAGAAAAGATAGAATCTAATATAAGCCATGATATTGTTGGTTTTGAAAAAAATTATTCTAAAAATAATTTTAATCTTAAAAGGAATATGTTTAAAACTAAAGGTATTTCATTTAAAAAGTTATGTTTCCGGGCCCTCCCTGGTGGCGCAGCAGGTTAAAGCACAGCACTAAGAAGCTAAAATCACTTTAGCATGAGTTCGATCCTCGCCCCTGAGGTGACTCCCATGGCACTACGGATCTCTCCTGATCCAGCCGCTGCTCCCCTCAGCTGCCTGTTCTGCATCCCACTCTGTCTCTGGTGAATCCTCTCACTGCCCCTGCACCTCCGGCACCCCAGTTCTGTATGCATAAATAAATAAGTCTTTTTTAAAAAAGTTGTTTCCCTATAGGGGAAAAGATGTAGTAAAAAAGTGTTACTTTTCCTAGAAGGGAAAAAAGCATACTATTCTAAATAAGCAAACAGGAATCATAATGGGGTGTGTGAAGTAAAGCAATTTAAAATACCCCCTACTGACTTCAAATGACTTACAATTGGCACAATAAAATTCAAGATTCCTTTGATTTGTTTGGTCAAGTTATTATCAGGCAGTGCTTAAAAGATTTGCAACATGAAAAATGTGTTCACAGTCAAGTAAAATTTGATATCTATAGCAAAGACTGCTTAATTAGAAAGAAGAAACTCTGGAACATTAAAAATAGTTTGCTTGTGATTGTGTTCCTTTTGAAGACACAAGCATGTGAAGATAAAAACTAATATCTAAGCTCAGTTTGTGCTACTGATTAATCCCAGGATTTAGAACAAGATTTTTTTCCTTGGGAAGCAATATTCATTTTGTGCTCACAAATTAATGGTTGATGAATTGCTGAATACATTTAACTCTATTGGAATCCTGAGAAATTTTAATTCAAAGTACTTGTAGTTTGAAGTTATTTGCTTTGGATTACAAAGTAAATTTTACTCCCACAAAATAAAGTCTGTGAAGAAGTTCTGAGGTCCTGGTTTTCAAGTAGTTTTTGTCTACTTTGTTAATTTTTATTTGCTCTTTGGTCTGGGTTGAAACAAATTGTTTTTCTTCCGTTTGGATCATTTTGATCAGAAACTTTTATGTTCAGCTTTCCTGAAAGGACCTGTGGTTTTTAAAAATTAAACATGGCATGTCATCATGATTTGTCTACTGTCCAATATAAACATTTCAGAAATTTTTGGAGACTTCAAATCATATTCTAAATATAGGGCAAGATTTAACCTGGGAAAAAACAGTACTTTGACCTCAAACAGTGCTCAGCTCTGATGAGCTAGAGAAATTCTTGTGGTGAATCTTTACAATATGGATAGATGAAACTTTATATTGTGTGCCTAATACGTGATTTTAAGATAACTCCCATAAGTCTCATTAATCTTTAGCATCAGTCTTTAAATACATAACTTAAAAATAATTAATTTAGTAGTTCCTGAAAACAATGATTTTAAACTACCCATTTTCTTTCCTGCTTCTGTTTCTAAATGTACGTCGTCCATTCTTCTAATTCTTTGCAGTTTCAGCTCTTATAGCATCATAGGGTCTGCCTATTGTTTGTATAGTAATTCCTTCCTTAGGTAGTGTTTCTGAGAGAGTACTGAAAATCAGACATAAATTGATTTCATATCTTGTTACAATCAATTATAATTTTCCATCATCATAGTATAATTTAGTCATTTATAACTCAGGAGTCTATTGATGGCCTCTTCAAATGCAGTGCTGGTATTGTAATATATAGAGTTAATTACCCTGCACATTACATGTGAGTATAACTAATGTACATGTACTTGTTGTGGCTGTGAGACTCAGGCTGTACAGATACCAGTATAAAAATTATTTTAAGACATCTATCAAAATAATCTGTAGATCAAAATGTTTAGAAAACACTGTATGGACCTGTCTTCATGATTCAGATTTCTCATTACAATATATAGTGTTTTATCTAACTTATGATGCCTTACAGCTCAAGCATTTCTTTGACAGCATTAATATTGCCTATATATATTGTAGATTGCAGGCAGATTTTTATCTAGATGATAGAGAAGAGGAACTTTTTTCATTTAAAATCTTCAAAGATAAAAAAGAAAGTCATTTGAAAAAATGACCTTTTTATTGAAAAATATGTTGTGAATGGGCATCTAAGTGAAGAGGCCCTATATGATTCTCTTGAATAAGAAGTGAAGGAAAACACTTGTAAAATTCCTAGTCTTTTTTCTGGCTCTCTGTTTATTGAATTTCTCTAATGATCTTGTGACTCTGTTGAGCTTACCTATCTGCGCTTGGAAATATAAAAGCCTCAAGTCAAGGAGACATTTTTGTCACTGGGACATAATGTGAAGAGTTAGACATCCTGTTTAAATTGGTTTCCTTGGTCACTCTGTGAGATAAATTCTTATTTCTCTGAAACTAAATGGATCAAAAAATATTTTCTATGACCTATTTTGTATTCAAAGGGAGATGTATACTATCTACCAGAATACACAAAATCTTATGTAAGTACTGAATGGAACTGGAATATCCACTTGAGCTCTCAGAAAATTAAATTCATGTTCTGGGGGAATTTTATGGTTGATAAAAATAGACGGCTTTCCTCACTGTGAAAAGATAGTGTTTTTGGACATGTTGAAATTCAAAATGAACATGAATATTATCAGTTCATTTTAAATACATAGAGCAACTAAAAAGCAATGGTAGTGGAAGATTCCAAACTTCATCTGCTCTAGATAATTACCTTCTTACAGAAGCTGCAGTAGTGAGCAAACTCTTTCTCAAAGCATGGTACACAATAATTGCCAGTTTCTTTGGAAATCAAAGGTTTAGTTCCTATTGGCTGTCGGCAGTGCTCACACACAAAGCAGGTTTCATGCCAGTAGTTTCCCTTAAATTCCATTTTTCGAGAACCTATACCCCAAAGTAAGAATGTATTAGTACAAATCAAGCATACTTTTCTTTTAAGTGAAGTTTTTTTTAAGTTAAGGTGATATGTCAAATGTCTGTATAGGAAAAAGTGTTTTGTTAGTTTCTAAAACTAACAAATCTGCCAAAAAATAATGTAACTAGAATTCAACCATGATGCAGGCAAGCCACTTTCAACGAAGGTTCTTGTGCTGTATAAGCTACAATTTGGAGATGTGACAGCACAGTGAATAGAGATTCTGCACAGAGTTAAGGTAAATTGGGCCACAATAGTCATTACAGAAATATCTGGATTGCCTGTAGCATGAGATCCTGAGATGGATGTTGGGCAATTATGTTCTCTCAGAAAGTTCTTTAAATCCATTAGAATATGAGGGAAAACCATGCCAGTGAGAAGAGGGTCAAAACACAGGGAATGTATTTGCCTGAAAGTCTAGAGATTTACAAGGAGTCTTTTCTTCCTTTAGAGTAAATAAAATGGACTATCAAACCAGTTTGAATCAAATTAAAAACAAATGATGGTTGATGCCATTATCACACAATCGTCTGTGTTTTTTGGTGCCATCAATATGTCTAGGTCAAGGGGTTAAACGCAATGTAACTGAGTACTATTGTAGATTTTATCATTATGACTCAGACTCTAGTTCAAATGTTTCTGTGAATTAGGTGTATACACATAATATGTCTTTAAGACAGAATGAATAATCTTTACATTTCCAAAGTACACTAAATCTGATCAAGAGATAGCAAGGAAGACATCCTTTTCACAAAAGCAGGTTTTGTTAGCTTCATACTGCTCCTGTTCTCGGGCCTACTTCAAAGGATTTCACTTCAGTAGAGATGGGCGCTGCCTATGATCTCACCAGGCATGATGGTCTTCTTGCAGTGGAAGCACTTGGAGGAGCACTCATTAGAAAAACACTCGGAGCATAGCAGGCGTTCATCCTTGGCAGCAAAAGGCTTTTCCACCAAAGAGTGATTGCATTTGGCACAATTGAAGCATCCTTCATGCCAGTGCCGGCCTTTGTAACAAAGATCCTTTGAGACAGTAAATAGAAGTTAATTAAGTGTGTTTGTAACAAAACAGGTCATTTTATAAAACAAAACTGAACACTCTTGGGACTCTGGTGTGAGTAGGTTGTGCTGGTAGCTAAAAGGATAGTTGTTGCTACTATTACCCACAGTGAAGAGACACTCTGGGGTCATTAAGAGCTGCAGCCAGAGCTTTCTTGGTTGGTTACTAAAGGCAGAGGAGAGTACACGATCTCAGTTATTTCTCATATTTCCTTTTCTTTTATAAACTACAAAGAGGTTTTTCATGTAATGACTTCTATTTTTACATTGCAGTTTCTTAATACCATTAGAGATTTAACTACACAAAATTTCAACATGCCTAATTAAAGCAAAGGCAAAAATAAAAAGAATAAGTTAAAGAACTAAAATGGAATAATGGGTGTTGTAGGAATGACCTGTGTGTGAGAGAGAGGTCAAAGGGAACCATGGGTTTAGGAGAGGTGAAACAGTTTGAAGTCAGATGATGTAAAATTTTGATTCTCTATATTTACAATTTATGGATTTATTCATTTACTTATCTCATTCCAAAATACCTTAACATTTTATGTGTGTAAGTTTGGCCAAATAACTTTACCACTTTAAACTTTAACATTCTCAACTACCTTCTAACATCATCATGAGGATTAAAGTAAATGGTATACTTCCTAGTGGTAACTATGACTGGAACTTGATTGGCAGTGACTTTGAAGCTGTGTATATCCAGAAGCAGGGCATAAAGAAGTTAATAGACAATACTGAAGGAAAAGTGGCATTCCAAGGCATTTTCTGCCATTCACAAGCAATTTCTGTAAACTGAGACTTACCTTGGAATTTGATTCAATTGGCTCTTTGCACTCCTCACAGTAGTTAGAAAAAATGCGATCATAACATGAAACACAGTATGGATTGTCATCCTTTAGTACATATTTTTTCCCAAGAAGTGATGTTGCACAGTATTGACAGTTGAATTGAGCAGTTGTCATTTTATTTAATCCTGTGAATAAGATAACAATTCATGTATATAAAAACAGAATTTGAAAGATAAATTATCAAGACTTAATACTATATGTGTAAAGCACTTGATGAATTTATGTTTTCTAAAGCAAAAAGCCAATTTCAAAAAATATATTGTCATCATGGTGACATGGAGTGATTTAGGGAAGGTTACTCTCCCATCTTGGCAGTTCCTATGTGTTTTGCTAACAAAATACATAAAGCCAACAGCCAGATTGTGAAAAACATCTTGTAGTCATCACTTAATGATGTGCAATTCAATGAGAATATGATATGTGTTGAAATAGGAAGGTTTCACCTCAAGGATAAAAATATGAACTGTTGATAGGGCTTTCACTAACTGTCATCACCTACTCTCTCACTGTAGAGTTCTGGAGGCAGAGTTCCTTGGAAATAACTATACTATTTTTTTTTTATTTTAACTGAAATAGAAATTAATAATGAAGTGTATTGCCTTTTTATTATTATTATTATTTCTTGAATCTTTATTGAGTACTTAATGGGGATTCTGCACTTTTGCCCTAAGGTTTTCTTGTACCATGAACGCTTCCTTGAAATAGCCTTTTTACTTATATTTCCAACTACTCCCAAATCTCCATCTTTACTTGCTATCAGCTTGGTTCCTCGCTTCACAAATAAATGTCCCATACCAAGTTGGCTAAACAGAACTCTTGAGCAGGTAGGATCCATGTGCTAGGTCTTTGTGAGTACAGTTGAGCAATTACTCAGATGGAAATAGATGTGTAGATAAAACCATCAATGTAGAAGATAGTTATAGGTTCTTCAGATTCTGGTACTACACCAAATGTATACAGAATGAAAAGCATCTTATAAAATTCATCCATTTATTGTGGGAAATGTTGAGACAGAAAATAGCACATCTTACGATACAAAAATCAACATGAAGTATAAAGCCAAAGCCAGAATAAGTATTTCAATTATTTTGAAATTTAGGAAAATCACTAAAGAACAAAATAATGGATTTCAAAAGGTTTTCATTTGACTTTGAATGTGAGTTTTTCATTGTAACCAAAAGCATTGCCACTGACTTTCTTGGAAAATGAGATTTGTTATCTGAATTTACTAGAATACATTAGGAACTATGAATATTTTCTAATTCCCTACCTCAGAGCTAAAAAATAGCAACCTGGTGGCACAATGGGCTAAGCACATCATTATGAAGTTACGTAGCCACTGCAACACTAGCTCCATCCCCTGCCAGGGAAGTGACCCACATAGTGTGGCAGACCTCTCCTGACCCACCCTTGCTCCCCTCAGCAGTGTACTTTGTTGTTCTGTCTGTTCTGCTCCCTACTCTGTCTCTGGTGAATCCTCTCACCCCCCACACCCCTGGTCTATATCCCATTCTGTATGCATAAATAAATAAATCTTTAAAATAAATAGCAATATGAGAAACTTGATGAACTATTGTGATGTTTTGTTCAACAGTTTTGGTATCAATATTTTATTTACTTGTATTTTATTTCCATACATTTGCCTTCCTTTATTTTAATGGTGTTTTCCAGCAAGTGTCTTGATGAATGTAAGTTGTCCTACATTCTGTAGAGTTTGGCTACACAGTTCTTCATTGATAGAGAAAAGACCTAGGATTGGGAACATGTGGATTTTTCCCAGGAAAGAGTAAAATTCAGATTAGAAATATCTCAACAGTATATTCCACTGTAAGAAACATTGAATTCCCTTTTTGATTAATTCCACAGTGATGTTCCTTTCTAACAAATACAAAAATACAAAGAGGGTTATTGAGGGCTCAGCAACAGGAAAGAAATAGATTTAATTTTCTTGAATGATTTTAAAGGAAGTTTTATTCATATTTACAGTGTTTAAATGGTTTTTTTTTGATGAAGTGATTATCTCTTAATAGTCAAGTGAGTTTATATACACTTAACTTTCATCAGTTCACATGAAAAATGCCATTTTCATTATTGATGTTTAAGTAGTTTAAGATGTACATAGTAGCATCATGAAGTGTGATCTCTCTGGATTCAGGAATTCCCAGGCTACTTACAAAGGCTTTTAGTTATAAAGTGAAGAAACAACCAAAGAAATAGCAGTTTAAGTGCTATTTAAATAACACTTTAAACACATCATCATTATAATATTTGTACCTTTTTGGTGATCAGGTCAAGCATCTAGTATTTAAAATACAAATATCTAAATAAATATTGTAAATGCAAATATAAATCAATATAAATAAAATCTTGTCTAAATAGAAGTATAAGAAGAGATAGCCATTCTCCATTTTCATCCTAATAATAGGCTTTTCTCCACAGAAAATTCTTAAGACTTTTTTTTCATTTTTTTTTTTTAATGGAGAAAGTTACTTCTTATCCCATCTTTTGCAAAAGGGAGTTGGGAAGGATGAGAATAGTCTGTTAATAAAAACCTTGTGATTTTGCATTTTATAGAATTATATACATTCAGAGTAGGCATTTAGTGCAGGTCAATATTTCTGAATATCATAGTAACATGTGATCTTGCCCTCAAGAAGTGTGCATTGTCTTATTTAACTCTTACTTTGATCATAGTGACTATAATTTGAGGTAAGAGAACAAACTGATCATTTCTTTTGCATTCAAAATCTGGCTGTTTGGCACAAAAGATTTAGCTTTGGGGCCTACCTTGTCTTTTGACATGTCTTTCTCATTAAGCACAATGATTTCTAACATTTGATTTAAAGTGAGAGACACCTACCTCTTCCTAATTTATCTGAATACTTACGAGGCATTGTTGGTTATTAAGTGGCTTTAGTATTTCACTATTGTATGTTAAGGAGCAGGGAGGCTTGAGCAGAGGGAAAAAGAATGGGGGAATGATTGGCTGGTGGGACAGTCAGAATCCACAGAATTTATTAATAAAGCTTACCATCTTACATAGGTCTGGCTCATAAGCATCAAAACAATTGGAATAACATCAAAGATTGCCGACCACAGGCTACCATAACACTATACAAATGAAGAGGTTTGAAATATTGAGAGAATTGCCAAAATGTGACACAGAGACAGGACGTGCTGTTGGAAAAATGGCTCCAGTATACCAGCTGAAGGTAGAGTGCCCACAAACCTTCAATTTGTGAAAAACATCCATCCATAAAGTAAAATAAGAAAAGCGCAATAAAAGCAAAGCAAAGCTGTGGAGAGATGGTAAGACCTATGTGATTGTTAGGGGCCTCTCCATCTGAAGTGTAATTTGGCAAAAAAAAAAAAAAAAAAAAAAAGAAAACTTTTGCTTTCAAAGGTTTAAAATCCTGAGAAGGATTGGTTTATATTTATGAGTTATAATAAATCTTAATTTTAATTTCCCCCAGCTGGATGGCATTTAACTTTTCTGGTGTGGATTAAGAAATGCTAGTATCGATATCAATTAGCCAGTCTTGTCAAACTTCTTTCAAAATCACTCTGCAATTTTACAACAGTTTAAACAGAATTTTTATGATCATACACTAGAGTTGTAGAAGGTTGATTTGGAGATACACTGCTATCTCAAAGAACCTATAAAGATAAACAAATAGCTCGGGAACTCAAAGTCACAAATGAACAGACATATTTTCCAAGCTCTCTTTTTTAGATTTCACATTTCTACCTAAAAGAATACAACTTTATTAGTAAGAGTTTCCATAGCCGAGAATGCTGTTTTTTTCTTAGATGTTATTTTTAAAACCAAGCATAATTTTGTGTCAAGTTGCATTTTATGGTGAGTTATTGATTACAAGATTAATGCCAGGAGCAATATACCCACGTATATTTTTAATGTGCTGAGCAGAATTAATAGATCACAAGTAGCATACTTGAGAGAATGTCAAGCAGGAGAGAGGCAGGGACTTGCTGCCAGTGTGGGGTCTGAAACATTCTGTTGCTTGCAAAAGACACCATTACTCATTACATTCAGTAAATATTTTTGATTTACGAAGTAACATGGCTAGAAGTTGTGAAGGGCATACAAGTAAAATAGACTACAATTCTAACCTCAGAAACTTTATAACCTAGGTAAAAATGGTAAGGACATTTTACAAATAAAATCTAGGAGATTAAAAAGTAAAATAAAAGATTATAAGCTTTTATTTTCTGATATGGGAATAAAATATATCTTTATTATTATTATTATTTCCTTATATCAGTGGAATAATCCAGACCAGTTTAGCAATATGGATTTGTGCTCTGATAGTGGTCATAGGGATTGCTGTTCAAATAGGGTGGATTGAATCAAAAGGCTGTTTGCTGAGTGGATCATTTTAGATGCAAGAGAGGGGAATGGGAGACAAACTTCTCTTCTCTCTCAATATGCCCTGCACACAAGCAACAGAGACCAGCTTCCAATATACATGAGTTTCAGGCATGAGCATCATGCGAATCAAGGAAACCTGTGTGTCTTATGACTTTCCTACTTTATAACTATTGGTTATAAAATTTCAAAGGTTGAGAGAGCTTTTCCTTCTTGTGGTAGAGTTAAATGTAGCAGGATATAATTTGAGTCTACTGTTTTCCAATAATACTTCTATGTTAATATATTTCTGAAGAATTTTGATACTTATGGAGAATTGAATTACCATATATCTTTGTTACAGATAACAATTATAAGTGACTATATTGATTTTATTACACCTTTTAAAAACATTCAATATATATATTGAGGATACATAGTAAAAGGTATTTAACGATATGTCTAGCTCTAATACTCCTAATCTCTAACATGATCTGTGAATTTTGCTAAATAATTGCAAAATTGCCATAATCAAGACTTTGTGCCTACGTAAAAGTGCACTGCTCTACAAAGTATGCTAGGATTCTAGTTGAATTTTCAACTGGTTGTTCGAAGTAGATTCACTCAGCCTGTACAAATATATCTATGTTCATCTGGGAGTATGGAACGACTATTTAAATTGCCCATTCAAGTCTTTTATTGATTCTGTAAAGTAGATTTGTTTCTGATTTCCTTTAGGGAAAAGTTTGAATCTGAGTG